TATGGTAGGGAATCCAGGAATTTTATATGTTTTATCTGAGGAAGGTTCGGTCGTGGACTCGAAGTTATAAAGGTCTCCGTGTGTCTTTCTGTCGCAGGGATATATTATACGTTTACTATACCTATTTCATTGATGAAAATGTGTATGCTCTAGTAATGTATATAATATATATATATATCAAACGCATGAGTAAAATAATGTATATTTAAGTACTTAAAATATACGTATATTTGACGTTTGTCACAGGTCAATTTTCCTTCCTTTAATATACACACAACATACATACGTTAGATGTTTTTTGCACGTGTAATACTTCAGACATAAGTGCCTGTTAAATAGAGATTTATTATACGTTTACTCAACGTATTATATACATGTGATGCACATCTAAATTCCAATAGAATATGTTGCACATTCCGTGAACATATATTATATATATATATTTTTAACTTCTGATATACTGAAACATCCCATTGACATGAAAATATTCTATGTACGTATATTAGAGATTTTGTTCCGTGCGGGAAGTACATTTATTCCAAAAATTATATTATCTTTTAAAACCATATGTCTACGAAAATCTACATCTATTTTCATGTAATCAAATAAATAAATTAAAAAGGAATCTGAGGAAATAAATAAACGTAGGACTCAAATTAAAAATGACATTTTATTTGGTCAGCATCCGAAATGTGCTTATAGGACTTTTCGTCATTATTTTAGTGCTGACCAAATAAAATGCAGTTTTCAATTTTCGTTTTTAAGTTTTTTTATTTGGTCAGATATAGTTTCATTTTTTTTTATTTGGTTAAATGAAAAAAGAAGACTATAGGTTTTCGTAGACATATTATTTCGAGGGATAACATCATTTTTTGAACAAATGTATTTATATAAGAAGCAGATGCAATTATCGTTTGATCTTTTATTCACTCGAAGGACATGTACGATTTTGAAACAGTTCTTCAAGAAACCATACTCATACCATGTTATATGGATTGTTTGTTACAGTGTACATATTTTATATAGAAATTTTAGTTGTTAAATTATATTTACCACATGTAATCAACTTTATTAAAAATATTAAGACTTACCAATATATTCTTCGCCTCCGACCGCGGGGAAACTCAAAATATGATACAAGAAAAATATAACGACGCAACGCTCAAAAGTTACTCAGCAATCTACTAAAAATTACGACTGACAGAAGGTCTCTCGCGACATTCGCAAAATTATAAAACCAACTCGAACTATTTCTCGAAATTAGAAAAACGCAAGAAAAATGGGATTTAGTGCTCAAAACTCAGAAAGACGAAAAAAAAGGCGAACAATTTCTCAAAATTCAGAAAAAGGCGGACAATTTCGGAACCAGCATAGGCCTTACCCCGGGGAGCTTCCAATCTACTCGAAACTCTACTCGCGACCGGGACTTTCCTTTTTCTCTTTTGCGTTCACCCGACGGATTCTCTAGCCCGTGAACACGATTCGTTTGCTTGCCCGCGCGGGACGCGGAAAGGCCGCCCTCACGATTCCTAATCCGGTCGCCGGCACGAGACTTATGCCCTATTTCCCAAAAAGCTGCTCGCCCGCACGATTCTTTCCTTTCGCCGGCACGAGACTTACGCGATACAATCCTCCGGGCACGAACTAAAGTCGCTTAATAACCAGGGCTATTAATTTATTCGCAAAACAGAGAATCCGCAACAGAAAAAAAAAAATAAAGCTCTATACCCGAAACTAATTCGCGACCGACGCCAGAAAATCAGACAAATTAACTAACTACCATAATTCACAAAGGGGCTCCCCTTGCCCTCAGAAAATCGGTGCTTACTTTACGCTGGGCTTTTGCCGCCGCTCGCCGGCTACCTCTACGTCTCCGCCTCGCTCCTCGAGGTGGCGGTTCGGGGCTACGACGTGGTCCCCTCCTGGTCCAGAAAATCCAGAAAATAGGAAATGCAAGAAATCGGGCTCTGAGATGCGTCCGGTCCGACGGTCCGTGGGCGAAGAAGCCCGGAGCGCTGGGTTTCCGGCTAGTCATAGGATTCCGGGCGATCATTCCAGGATCCTTAATTCCGGTCGATGATTGGTCTAGGCGCTCCGCAGTTGCCAAAATTCCCAAAATCGTCGAGCACCGCGCTGCGCTAATTGGCGCTTGATGGATGGCGTGTGCGGGGGGTGGGGTGGTGGTGGCAGGGACGGTGGTGCGCGCCTCGCGCTCTACGCGCTCCTAGATGCCAGGCCCGTCGTCGATGGTGAGTCCGCCGGGGCCCTTGGCGCGCCGCTCTCTCCATGTGCGGCCGCTGGAAATTCCTCTTGAGGGTTTCCCGGTCCACCTGGACAGACCTTAGCAAGCCCGGGTCTCTCGGCGACGACCGGTCGGGCTCCTGGCCCGGAAGTCCGGCGTCCTGGGCGTCGGGCAATTACGAGCCCGGCCCTTTGTGCCCGCCCCCTGTTGCCGTAACTTGACCGCTAGCGGACGTTCCTAGGACGCGGCATCCATCCGCCGCCGTGCCGATCGGGACCGGGAAATATAGCCAGGCCCCGTCCCCCGGCCCGGCTCCTGTCCAGGTAGTCCTGTACTTCCTGCGGGCGGCCCACCTTTAGCCGCCAGGGCTAACCAGGGGCCCGCCGAAGACGGGGTCGGCCGGCTCCCCTCATGGGCCCGGCGTCACGGTCCGTCCTCTTTGTGTAGATACGCTCCTGCGCAGACGTCGGTTTCCTCCTCGACGCGGCTCTCGTAGCGGCGAGCGACGACAAAGCCGCCGCGACCTCTACGAGGTCGACGCTGTTGTCGTCCTGTTACTACCCGAATTCACGCAGCTATAAGCCTTTCTCGAATATTCGCTGGAATATTCTTTGAATATTCCAGGCAATATTCGAGAGTACAAAATTATGTATTTTTCTATAGGTCAAACATGCTCAAGAAAAATCGAAAAGGCGTATCCCGAACGGCGCCTCTCGGGAATCCGCAATCGCAAAGCAAAATCTGTAAAAAGGTTAAGAACAGTTTACATAGTTAAATAGTCGGAGCTAGGTTTCCCCCCAAATCGGGGACCGTCGGACCAGGATTTGCTCCGGAGTTCCGAAAAAGGGCTAAATGGCCCTCAGGCAACCATGTGACCGTGTGGCCTAAAATTCACACGTCACAGCATGTATGCCATACGAATGCGGGAAATTAATGTTCATTTTCTTAATATACGCGCAACTTACACGTATTAAATATCTTTGCGTCTGTAATACGTTAGATACAATTGCACGTTAAATAGAAGTACATTGTACGTTTAGTATACGTGTTTCATTGGTAAAAACGTGGTTGCTCTGGCAACGTATAAAGGACGTATATCAAACATGTGAGTAAAATAATTTATATTTGTTTACTCAGAATTTACGTATATTTTACGTCTAGGACAGATCAATTTTCCTTCCCGTAATATATACCCAGCATACATATATTAGATGTCTTTTGCATGTGTAATACTTTAGATGCAAATACTTGTTAAATAGGGATATATTATACGTTTACTATACCTATTTCATTGATGAAAATGTGTATGCTCTAGTAATGTATATAATATATATATATATCAAACGCATGAGTAAAATAATGTATATTTAAGTACTTAAAATATACGTATATTTGACGTTTGTCACAGGTCAATTTTCCTTCCTTTAATATACACACAACATACATACGTTAGATGTTTTTTGCACGTGTAATACTTCAGACATAAGTGCCTGTTAAATAGAGATTTATTATACGTTTACTCAACGTATTATATACATGTGATGCACATCTAAATTCCAATAGAATATGTTGCACATTCCGTGAACATATATTATATATATATATTTTTAACTTCTGATATACTGAAACATCCCATTGACATGAAAATATTCTATGTACGTATATTAGAGATTTTGTTCCGTGCGGGAAGTACATTTATTCCAAAAATTATATTATCTTTTAAAACCATATGTCTACGAAAATCTACATCTATTTTCATGTAATCAAATAAATAAATTAAAAAGGAATCTGAGGAAATAAATAAACGTAGGACTCAAATTAAAAATGACATTTTATTTGGTCAGCATCCGAAATGTGCTTATAGGACTTTTCGTCATTATTTTAGTGCTGACCAAATAAAATGCAGTTTTCAATTTTCGTTTTTAAGTTTTTTTATTTGGTCAGATATAGTTTCATTTTTTTTTATTTGGTTAAATGAAAAAAGAAGACTATAGGTTTTCGTAGACATATTATTTCGAGGGATAACATCATTTTTTGAACAAATGTATTTATATAAGAAGCAGATGCAATTATCGTTTGATCTTTTATTCACTCGAAGGACATGTACGATTTTGAAACAGTTCTTCAAGAAACCATACTCATACCATGTTATATGGATTGTTTGTTACAGTGTACATATTTTATATAGAAATTTTAGTTGTTAAATTATATTTACCACATGTAATCAACTTTATTAAAAATATTAAGACTTACCAATATATTCTTTCAGGTCGAAAACGTGCATTCCTTATTTAAAAAAAAGTACAAATCCTCATATTGTTAACATCAGTCCCCCACTGAATTTAAATCCATTTTGGTTTAAAAATCATGTTGCATATACAATGTCTAAGTATGGAATGTCTATGTGTGTTCTTGGAATGGCAGACGAATTCAAAGAAGACGGTATTGCTGTTAACGCCGTGTGGCCTCGAACTGGTATGTTGCTAAAAACAGAATATATAAAACACACGTTTGAAGTATTTAACAGCTTATTCCCATGATTAGCGATTTACACAGCGGCAATCGAAATGTTGACCGGCCCAAACTCTGGCAGCATTAGTAGAAAACCTGAAATTATGGCTGATGCGGTTTATTCATTGATCTGTAAAAACAGTAAATCACTAACAGGACAATTTTTAATCGATGAAGACATATTGAGACGAGAAGGAATAACAGATTTTTCTACATACGCTTTTGACCCAGGTACGATATCAAAAATATTAGCAATTTATCAGATGATCTTGAGTAAATAATTTGTCCTTAACCTTTTCGCTACGGCAGTGTGCTCCGTCGGAGTGACACCGTTGAACGGGCCACCGTGCCGCCGGAGTAGCGGCACTGAACGGAGCACTGCGCCGAAAAGTGTGCATGTTGCGCTTAGGTAAACTGGTGTTCGGACTTACATCTTTCGGTGCAGCTTCGTCATTCTCCGGATCGCACGATTCTTTAAGTATTATACAACAACATATTTGGAGATTTTGCAATTATTATCAATAAAAACATCGCAGATCTCATGGTCAAGTGGTATCACGCGGATGTCGTCTATAGGCGGCGCTCGTACATACAGGTCGTCGCGCGGATGTCGTCTATAGGCGACGCTCGTACACACAAGTCATCGCGCGGATGTCGTCTATAGGCGACGCTCGTAGCGAAAGGGTTAACACCATAGTCGGCCGTAGTCGGATAAGAGGAAGCTGATCCACCTTGCCCCTATCCAACTCATATTTGTAATATAGCTGCTCCTTGATATGAAATATAATTTCGTATAATATAAATCATCAAAGAGAAACTATATGGCAGTAGAAATTGTAAACAAAATTTTAAACAATATTTTTCTCGATTCCCGGGTGTGGATTGCACAATTAATTAAATGTTCAGTAATTTATTTAACAAGGATTCCTTCAGCTTACGTATCGGAAGCCATGGTTTTATCTCTAAAGCACCCTCTTTTCTGTCCAGTTGAGACATGACTAGAATATCGTGAGTAACAATTCACGTGATAGCCTGCTTCGGCTGCAACTAGGTACAAGACACTATTCACTCTTTTTGCGACAATGTCACCCCATTCGTCCTTTCTGAATGCGGCTTTTTGCAACACCTGATATTTTACAGTCTAGCAGCGAACTTCGTAAGAAACATTACGTTCCTCTACAGATTTTTTGTTCTCCTTCTCTATGTCATGGAATTGCCACAAAATAACCACGCGTTCTTAAAATCAAATTGTTCACACCCGCTCCCCCGTGTTCCTGCTCCACTTTCTTCACCTTTCGGCAGATAGAGACGAATATTTCCTTCCTTTATGTACTCACGTCTACACACTTTGTGAACTTCAATCGATTTTACAGATTCCAATTGTTTGTGTTTCCCATCTTTCCTGGTTTTGCTTACATTAATTAACTTTTCTAATCCCCATTCAACAAGCACTGTCTCTCCTGAAAATGTCTTTTCACAAATGAAGCACTTGCTTGTTGAAGCCATACTTAATTAACGAATCATTGTTACTTGTACATGATACCTTCGTTATATACAGTATTCTAACTTTTCTCGCGTACCGGCCCTTTCCCCCTTGTTCGGTCGCGTCGTATCGCGCAATCGGGCGGTCGCGAGGAAGTTAATTAGATTGCCTCTTGGCAACTTCCTGGATTTCCTTTTGGCAGTCTCAGATTAGCTAGGGCTTTCAACGGAGCAGAGCCTCAGCCTCTAAGCACTTTTCATCAGTGAAAGCCGTATGGTAGGGAATCCAGGAATTTTATATGTTTTATCTGAGGAAGGTTCGGTCGTGGACTCGAAGTTATAAAGGTCTCCGTGTGTCTTTCTGTCGCGTCAAGTATGGTGTTCAATTAAATTTCTCTGTTTTTGAAAATTGTAAGTCTAATCGAGATTTATGTGTGGGCGGGCTCCACGGTCACACCTTGTGCAACGTGTTCCCGTGACCCTTTAACAAAGGGGGAACGGCGCCATGCCGTCACGCCCTCGGTGTGTAAGTGTGAAAGAACGTTGTATTAAGAGTCTGGATCATCCCGTACCTCTAGTCACCTGGGGAACATCGCGATGACGTCACGCCGAGGGGCAGGTACAAGTCCGACGTCGTCGTCCTGGTTGTATGTTCTCCCGTCGTCCGGCTTCGTCTCAAGCGGCTATACACCCGGGGAACGTCGCGATGACGTCACGCCGAGGGGGCAGACGCAAGAGCACGAAACCGGCCGCGGAGCGCCTCGCTGCCGTGTGGAAGGGGGAGCGGCTCTATGCCGTCACGCCTCGCACGGCAGGCGAGTTGGCTCGCCGAATTTCCTAAGATTTTCGACGATAATTCCCGGAAGGGGAATCCGTCTAAATGGCCACCGTTCGTAGGTGGTCCGAGGTATCCCTGCCGGACGCTTTGCCGGACTTCTTTGGGTGCTCGGTCTCACCTGCCTACTAAGGGCACTGAATTCTAATTGCTCGTGAGGAGCGGCCCTGTCGCCTTGTCTCCTCGAGCCTTTTAATATACCTCTTGCCAGGGGATGCCTGGCAAGGGTACCGCGAAGGTAGGATACTGATCTGGAGGAGCAGCGCAATGCCACCACGTCCTTTCTGATCGTTCTTAACCGGTCGAAAGAGCCTCTGGATGTGGTGTATATACACACTAAAAGTTACAGTATATATACACTTTGTGCACAAATAGTGCACATACGCTTGATTTCGGATTTTATGTAGTGACGACTTAGTAGATGATCGATTTTCCTTAGTATCGCGCCGATTCGTGGCCACCCTGCCAAGATGCCTTATAGTTTCGTAATTCCCGCTTTCCGCCTCCTTTACCAAAGAAACGCGGTTCGCAGGGTGCCGGCCTGCTGGAATCAGGAGTAACATGTAAAGACCGCGGATAATTCGTCCGGACCGGGTCCATTTCCCTTAGGCGGTACCGTCCGATCCGCGGAGTTTCGGCGACTTCCGTCAGGTTGCGTCTCGCGTTCCAAAACCGGAATTCGTCGGGAGGAGATTCTCGCACGCTTCCATGTATCTTACCCCTCACGTTTTATCGAAGGTATCGTTGCTATTCTCGCCGGAGGTTGCCGGAGGAATTAGCGCGGCCACGTGCGCGTGGGTCAGGGTGCGCAAGAAGTATAGGAGCCATACCGCGGTCCGGTGCAACCGTCCCGTACCGCTGCGCAGTTACTGGGCGCCGGATCCTTATCGAGGCTCCGTGGGGCACAAGATCTTCTGACCGGGCGTTGTCCCTTTTGGGCCTCTACCGGGGGGTTACCAATCACGGCGCAACCTAGTTAATTTGGTATTTCCTTTCGCTACCTCTGTTCAGTTCGACAGGTGTCCCTCGTCCCGAAATTTGTACCACGGACGCGCCTGTTACGTGGAGGTTGCAGAAGGCCCAATAAAAGACCCCGACGGATGGTTTATCGCACTGATTTTGTTTCATTTAGCGAACCTTTTACGTTACGCGAATTTTAAGGACGACGACACCTCGCTCGATTCGTTATTACACCGAACCCCCCGGCTCTATCGTGCCGCGAAGGGCGTAAGGTCCTCGCGGGACTGAGTGGCTGGTCGGATACGCCCGGGTGGGCCCCGCCTAACGGACCGAGTCGGCTTGCTTGCTACCGAGTACCGGGATCCCGAGGTGCGCATGTGCACCTGGCGCCCTTAACCCTTTCGCTACGGCAGTCCGTTCCGCGGGAGTAGCGCCACTGAACGGGGCACCGCGCTGCACCGTCTCGCGGACACCGACTATAATCATCCGTACACACAGCACGTCGCGCGGCCGCCGACTATAGTCGGTGTCCGTAGCGAAAGGGTTAAATAAATCGGGCTCCTGGAAGAGCCGATGATCAAGCTTGACACCCTTTTCCTAAATAAGACCGGGCGTATGACGGTTTGACGGTCGGGGAATAGAAATTCCCGTCGCAAGATATAGAATTAATTTGTACGGGTAATATACGGATATCCCACTTCGTGCGGTGCCTGGGAAATTACTATTCTTTTAATTATTTAATTCTTTCGTAAATTTGTTTGTTTTGCTAATAACTGACTTCCATTTAACTAGAAATTATCTTTCCTCAATGACTTTATTCTACAAAGTGTTTAAGATAACTGTCATGTTCAATCTCTGATTTTATGAGTATGCAAAGCTAACAAAAAAAAATATTGCTTACAGCGAATCAGGATAATTTAATGACTGATTTTTTCCTGGATATATCGGAATCTACCAAATCACCATCTGCTGAACGTTCTGAAGTAGCCTCACCAAAGCATGATGTGACGTCTGATTTTGGAGACGGGAGAATCGCAAAAATTTTCACTGCGATTCATGCCAATTTAAGTCCGGAACTTGTTACTAAGACTGGAGCTGTGTTCGAATTTAATGTCAAAGGTAATGTTATTATCCCAGACAGCATTGAATATTAGTTAATATCTGGAGAATATGTGAAAATGTCTGAAAATATTGTGGATGTCAGTATGATATTTCCAGAATGTTCTGTGAAGTGGCAGGACTCTGCCGTCACAAGTCGGGGCGAAGCGGGAACGGTGAGTACCAAATTATTTGTTAATTCCTTCCAGCATCGATTGGCGACGCTCGGGGTTTCCAGGAACCATCGATAATTGTAGGTAGCGGCGATTTTGTTTAATTGTATTGGTTAAGTAATACGTCGGCTGGCTGACCTACCGTGCAGCCCCGTGTGGATCTTCGGTTACTGTGCCGCGTAGAGGAGGTTTTTGGGGATGGAGCTCCCATCTATCGGGCAAATTAGCGGCTTTCAGCGGAGCGTGGACTTTTAATCGGCGCGCCGCGACACCCTTCCCGACATCTAGCGTGGGCCTAGTTAATCGCCTAGCACCAAACAATCTCGCGGTCGCCAGAGGAATTCGGGAGGGGGTTTTCCGTAATTCGGACGGTCCTGCCGGCTCTCGGAGCTCATTGTTCTGGATGTTCTGAGTGTCGCCGGTATATGTGAATCGTCCGTTCCTGAATTCCGCTGCCGACAGGGGAAAAACGCTGTCGTTTCCGCTTGCTCCTGACGACTTGGGTGAGCAAACCCGAGCTGAGTTCTATTAGAGTTCTTTTCCGTTGCCGTAAAATTTGATTGTCAGTAAAATCTCCTTGGCGTGTACCCCTCCCGCTAATTTCCGATTTTGTTGCGCGCCTCGCGACCGCCGCCGGCGATGCGTGCCAGAAGCGTAATTGTCCGGTACACCCGCGATCCCGTGACGGGTAGCTCACGTGCGTTCCTGTTTGTGTGCCGCGTTTGTGATCCCGCAGCTTTAGGTAGGATTCGCTGCTCCCGGCGTCGAAAGTGACAGGCCGCTGACCGAGCGGAGTCCAGTAGAGCATTGTTCTCTGAAGGGTTGGAGGAGGCGTCGCAACCTATCCCGTCGGAACCATGTGGCTCCCGTTTTAAATTTTCGTGCCGGCGTTATCCCGAAGTCCGTTGTCACATGTCCGGTAATTATTAATTATTGGTTGTATTCGCTAGTGACCGAATAAAAAGCTACCGCGCCGTCTCCCGGAAATTGGGGTTTAGTGTTTTCTTTTCTTTTGATGTCCCGTCCACCCGGTCTATTTCGCGTTTAGCCTGGACGTCCTACCCCCCGCCTCTACCGAGCCGCGAAAAGTCGAGACGACTTTCGCGGGGTTGAGTGATCGGTTATGGGGGCTGTTTCGCGTCCCACGACGTCGATTTTGCCCCTCGCCGGGAATCCGGGGACCGCGGCGCGCTTCCTGTGCCTGGCGGCTCGATAAAAATAAAGCAACCCTACGTTCGTAGAGCGAACTCCCTTCGACCGACTCCGCGAAGAACCGAACCATCTACGGACCCTGGTCCGCCTCATTTTGTGGAGTGCGAGCCTCGCCGAGAAAAATCGCGTTGCAGTTCATAAACAGATATTTGTAAACCAATATTTTCATAATATTTCTGGTATACTGGAAAACAAACACTTGAAAAATAACATTAATGTGAAAAACTAAACACCAAGGTAAAGAAACGGGAAGTTCTTTAGTAATATATGTTTAAGTGTTAAAAAATAATCTAGTTAGATTTAATATATTTTGTGTAAGGGAAGCATGGTTTACATGTCTCTTCGAGACTGTCTTCGGTACCTGAAATTGGCCTTTCAAAAATAGGACGACTGAAAAAATTTACTTTCCATCATAGTTTTTGTGTTTTATTATTTTATAATTAAATCATCTTGCACGCAATTATGGTCAGTACCGACAGAAGAAACACAAACAAATTTGTGGGAGACAATTAAGAATGGATGATAAAATAAAAAATGATACTAAGTAATAAACAAGAGCTTTATTAATCATTGGTCAATTTACCTCGTGGGACACTTTGCCCCGGTCTCCTCTACGACGAGACCTACATCTCTTCTGACGACTCTTCTTATATTGTTTGCGATGAATTGTGTCCAACGAACTTTCCGGAGATGCTTCAGTCATCACTTAAAAAAGGGGGGGGGGGGTACGTGTTAAAAGCAATCGGGTCCCAGTGTTCGTTAGAATAACCAAGGCCAGAAACATTGCCCCCGAACGTTGTGTGTGACTTACATCAGAATATATCTTAATTATGATTGTTGTCGAAACGTAGCCTGAGGCTGAATTGATCATAAAAAAGGAAGCCTTCATGAAAGTTAGTGAAATAGATGCCCTATCTCAATTTAAAAAATTCTAATTTTTACAATTACTTAAACTTGAATTTTTTTTTCCGTAGCATTTAGGTAAGCATATTTCTAATTCCCCCACTCATAATTAGTAAACCCTTGGTGTATAGAACTCTGTAGCGCCTCGTTTAAGCTAATGTGTGTAAAGCGCGTTTCCTGCATCACTCGACGCTATGAGTTTGTCGTTCAAATGTGTTTGTCTCGAAACTACCGAATTTTTTTATATGTTTTGATATTTACAATACTTTTAATGGTAATAGCTTGAAAAATGCGGTGCATACTAATGAACGCTCGGATACGTGTTTTCTTATTTTGGCCCTAGATAAACCCGTACAAAGCTTACTAAAATTCCCGACTCGATCGATCGGACTCCCTTGCAAGACACTACTGCATATTCTGAAGTATGAAACACCCGATTTAGTTCATAAGAAGGATCAAAATATATATCCTCAACACTAACTGTACCACCGACCGGTCCATTGATCGTCTTTAAATGTATTGGTAAGGGGGTTATACATTGTCGGTACGGTTACTGTTAATACATGACAGATTAGGATTATTTTTAATACTTTATCTATACATGGCTGAATCTAGATGAACCATTGATTTACAATATAATGTAGTGAAATAATGCATTTCATATATATATATTATTTTTAACATTGCTTTTTGAAAATTCTAATGACCGATTATTACTTATGTAGGAGATGAAGCTGGTACGTGGTTTCTGGACCTTAAAAATGAGAAAGGAGCTACAGGACGGGGAAAGCCTAGCCATCCAGCCGATGCTGTATTCACTATGGACTCAAAACATTTTTTTGCAATGTTTTCCGGTAAATATTATTATTCAAATATATGCTATATAATTAAGTTCATTCTGGATCCCATTTAGAAAAGCGAAACTTTTATATTTGGTTTTATTATCTGCAAGTATTTATCGCACTAATCACTATAATAACTGGATATCTGCTACTCCCCAAAATAATGTGATTATTTAGAGTGACTACAGCTCCTCGAATTCCTCATTCGAAAATTTCTCCTTCGAAAATAGAGTGTAGTTCAAAGAAGTATCTATCTATGTGATTAAACTCGAAAACTTCATATCAAGACAGCTCTTTTCGCACATGCGTAGATTTTACTTACTTAATACTGCTGATCACATTCGGTGGCGCTGTTGTGCCTCGAATTTGTCGGACACCTCTCCGTATGGAAAAAACCTCCGGGTAAGAAACCTGACAAAATACAGGATTGCTACGAATCATTCTTATAAAAAAATTACTATTTCTTGTCTACATTATGCTTTTGCAAAAAAATAACACTGAAATCATATCACGAAATCAAGTATATTGTAACCTATCTCGCTGACCCCCCCCCCCCCCCCGTCGGTCGCGCCTTGTCACGCACTCGGGCACTTGCGGGGAAGTTTTTCTCTTTTGTCTTTCCGGCCTATCCTGTATTTTCTTTTCACAATCTCAGATTAACCCGAGCTTCCAACGACGTACGCCTCAGCCACAATCAGTTTTCATCAACGAAAGCCGTGTGAAAGGGAATCCAGGTTTGGATTTTAGGTTTCATCTGAAGACGGTTCGGTCGTGATTTCGAAGTCTGTCAAGGATTATATGTGTCTTCCTGTCTCATTGCGTGAGGTTTTGAGCGAAACTGGTTTTAAGCTATGCCAGATCTGTGGATGCGGGCTCCACGGTCACACTTTAGTGCAATGTGTTTCCCTGACCCTTAACACGTTCCGTGCCACGTGTATCACCGATAATACGCGTTAACCCCGGGTGGTACACGGCGTGGCACGGAACGTGTTAACCGAGGGGAAACGGCGCCATGCCGTTACGCCCTCAGGTGTGTAAGTGTGCGAAATTCGTACCTAGAGATTGGCTCGTCCGCGCACCGATTACCCGGAGGCGTGATGGCATGGCGCCGGTCCCCCTATGTTAACCGACCACCCGAGTGCGCGACAAGGCTCGATCGACTGGGGGGGGCAAGAAAAGTTACATTGGCACCCGAACAAGGACTCGAAGCACAGAGGGTTGTACTCTTCATTAACATAATTGTATTCTTGAGATCGCGGGAACTAACCGGCGGAATCAAGATCCACGTATTAGAGCAACGAACTGCAACGATTTGGGGCAGCGAAACCACGTCACTCGGCCGACTGTTCAAAATAGGTGTTTCAAGGTCCGCGGCTCATTAGTAGTACGTGTCGCGAACCCAAAACGTACACTTTTGCAACAATCAAAGAAGCAAATGAAAGGGAACCTTTCTCAATTTTGCTCAGCAAATAACTTATTCAAGACCCACGAAAAATGACGGAGTAAAAGTCAAATCGGAGCCGCTAAATCGCGTTCGGTTGTCCACCTGGATAAATACCCTATTCAACCAACATGGCAGACGCAAGGAACAACTATGAGGAACCACAGGCAGCGATGGATGAAAATCATCAAAGCAAGGAGAGAAGATTCCCAAACTTCTAGAATGTCACTATGGGAAGAAGGACCGGGACGGAGGCAGCAGAACAGGAACCAATCGCCATCACATGGAACGACATTGGGGACCTCTGACGGCGCCATCAACGAGCGCGTACAGCGGCATGGAAATCAGGTTCTGACAACAGGCGGAGGAACTTCAACTAATCATGACGTATTCCCTAAATACGATGTAAAGGGACATCGCCAACCTAATTCTTCGGACCGCAAGTTCCAACGGGCGAGCTAAAAGACGCAGGATCACGTCACCGGACCAACTGTCAACCCGGAGCAGCAAGAGGAGCAATGGACCGTAGAGTGCACCTCGACTCATGCTACCAAGATTTAAAGACACACCAGGGGAGAGGCCGATCAAATTTTTACAGGAATTGAAAAGATATAGGAAATCACTGGGACCGGCCTACGACTTCAAAACGCTGGTAACTCAATGTCTCTGTGGTGCAGCCAAGGATTGGTGGATGCTTCAGAAATACAACGTCGAAACATTAGACCAATCCCGGCAGCGGTTTAAAAGGCGCTACTGGAACGAAGACATTCAATTTAAAACCCGCGACTAATTACAATTCGGGATATATAACGACGTCAAGAAAAGTAGTAGAACAGAATACGCGATACGGCTAATAGGCGTGGCTCGCGAGGCTGACCCACCATTGAGGGAAGACCAAGTAATTAATCGATTAAGTCGGCACTTCTCCGAAGAAATCCGAGTCGCCGTTATCTCAAGAGGGATCACCAAGGCCGATGACTTCCTAGATATACTTGAGCGTTTTGATCAGTCCGGAGGAATAAACGCAAAGAGAACACCACGGCCCAGGCCCGAAGGAAATGCACAAGCGACGAACGACTACAAACCGTTCATCCCCAAGGGATCAAATTCGGAGCGGAGTGAGAACTACAAACCTAAGCAGCCGCCACCGAACCGGTCGGACAACAGCAGGGGCCACTGGGAGAAAAAGAATCAAGAGGCCCGGAAGAATCTGCGAGCACTAGTCCAAACCGAAGAACACGAAGCAAACGCGAACATCACCAAGTCGTCGGGAAACGAATAAGCACCATGCCCCAACATTCCCCAATAACCACGAGCGCGGTGCGACAAATCAGGGAGGATACCCGAGATAACCTCCTAGCCGAAGAAATAGGAGAAAGCAGCGAAAAGATCCGATACCCAGTTCTACATATAAAAATCGGCGCAATCGAAGTTGACGCTCTCGTGGATATGGGATGCTAAGTAAACGCGTTTTCCGAAGAGTTCGTAGCAAACAATCAAGCACTTTGGAGAGATGCCCATATTACCTGTGGCCGGACTGACGGTAAGAGGTGCAACTGAAGGAAAATTTTTTATTTCTCTCGATGCTACAAACGAATCCGGAAGAAGCTCTGTACCTGCGAAAACTGTCAGAGGGACAAAGTGTACATAATGAGATCGTTCGCCATCATCTTCATGAAGCCTCGGGAGTTAGCGGCAATGGACTTTTACGGACAACTACCCATCGGAAGATGCGGCGTCAAATATATCCTGGCAATCATTGTCGTTTTCTCAAAGGTAACTGCCTTATACGCCCTCAAACGAGCCACCGCGGAAGCTATTCTAAATTGTCTACGCGATTGGTACATCCCAAGATTCGGAAAACCTAAAAAAATCCTGTCGGACCAAGAGACGCAATTCACCACCGATAAGGGGCAGGAAGAACTGCTGCACAAAGGGATTCAACACATATTAACATCAATACGTCACCCGCAGACAAATCCAGTGGAAAAAATCAAGTGGGAATTAGCGCGCTAATTTCGAACGTTTCTCGAAAATCGACACAGACAATAGGCTGATTGGCTCGAGGCTCCAGAAGACTGCGTCAACCACGCATATCATGAATCAACGGGATGCATACCGATGCAACTGCATGAAGGAGTTCGACCACCTCGACCATGGAAACAGTGGTTAAAACTCCATCAAGAGAGCATGACACACCCCGAACGATTAGTCTTCGCATATGGGAATATGATACGGAAAGGGCGTCGATGAGCTCAACGCTTCAATCGACAACACAAGGTCACCGAATACAAAGTCAGAGCCTTGGTGTTAGCGCACGCATTAAACGTTTTAAAATCAGAAGGGAAAATTTCGGTTAAGTTCCTGCCATTTTACGAGGGTCCATATAAAGTGGCGCGGAGAGTAGGAACCTCGTCGTATGAAATCAAAAACTCGGACACCGACATGACCCGGGGTGTGTACCATACGCAGGACCTCCGACCCCATATCCAGTAAACAGGTAGTAATGAGCGACCGAAGGAGACCAGGGGCGCGAGGCATAAGCAACACCGGACTCGCCCAAAATATGAGAAGAAATTTAATAAGAACGACGATGAAGACGACCAACCGATCCCGGAATCAACGGACGATTAGTTGAAATCGAGATGTCGAACAAGGTAGATCAGAGCACCCGAACCGGAGCACCGGAAGGGTGAGAGCGGCACACGGGGCCGAAAGGAGTACCGTACGGTGCAAACAGTCGCAAACGGATGAAAAGACATTCATGGAAGCGGCAATCCGAAGGGATGTAATAGAGTATGCAGGAGGAGAAAAGATCCCGGAGGTGCCACCCTATCCAAAATATGTAACATAAGGACAAACTAAGCAAGAGCCAGCTAATGTAAACTGGAAAGGGTAAAGAGAAAGCCAGTAGCCAATGACTAAAGTTAGCGCACATCGAAAACAGGGTACTCAAGGTAGAGAAGATCGACCCCCAAGGTCCGGATACATTACCGCACCCGCATGGTCACCGGGTCGCGGCCACGCATCCCCGCGGTATATATGCTCGAGAGCGAGGAGGCGGCACGACGACGGCGCCACAAGCTGAAAACATAAGGCATTTCCTAGAGATGACCCAGGATCCTTCCTTACGGTGGTCAGACCAGTTGCCGGAAAACCAGCTGCAAGAATAAAAAAAAAGGGCTCGCCGTCACTCTATTACATTATGTAAAGACTGAAATGAACACTACATTGAGTTATGGTTCTTTCCTTCTCTCTGACTGGACAAATAGGAAAGGAGCCATGGACCGGATTCAGGGTCCGATCGATGACCCCTTTGGAAGGACCATGTAACGTATCGGAGGAACCTGACACAATACCTATGAGTCACCATTAAGATCTTGTCCCAGCGAAGACTTAGTTTAACACGTTAAGTGCCCAGCCCGTTTTGTTTGCCGTTCCGTTCGGGCCCAGACTGCGGCAAGAAGTCTGCGGTCGGTCCCTGAGGACCGGCTGGGCTTGAACAGAGTCTAACGCCGGACCCTAGGGACCCAATTACTAACTCGCAATAGAATTCGGTATCTACCTTCCG